TGGGGGGAACCGATACGCGCGCCGATTGCGGTAGTAATATAATAATGAAATATAATATAATATAAATAATATTATGGGTGTAAGACTGAATAGAACTTGATAATAATATGAAGTTATAAGTTAATTGTATTCAGTGGCATATTTTCAGTTTTTTTATGGGGGGGGGGTCTAAATATTAGGTATAAGCTTATAATATTATAATAAAATACATACGAGTTATGATTTAATAATGATATTATTTATATTATATTATATTTCATTATTATTATGAATACAAAATAAATGTCAATTAATAGTTTTAAGTCAGACTGTCTACTATACTCTATAGACGGCGCGCGGAGTACTAATATAATTATATAGGTATATTACGTCGTTATCGTCGTCGTTGTTGTCGTCGGATTGCGACAACGCGATAACAAAATAACCAATAGTTAAACTCAAGTTATTTTTATAAATATTGTAAATTGTAATACAAACATAAACACATAATTATAATATAAATTAATATTATTTTTCTCGATACCATGTCGTAGCATTTTTTCTGGGGGGGTCGAGACCCAGGACCCCCCCCCCGTATATATGCCATTGATTGTATATTATATTAAAGTAAATGATTTTTTTCTTAAAAGTTGGGTAGGTTAATCTAATTTGCAGCCCCATCATAATTATAATGCCAATGAATATTATAATAGCCTATACATTTTATTAATTATGATGACGTCTACATATTAAAATAAAAAGGTTTTTATTAAATACTGTTATTTATTTTTTTTTAGTACATATTTTAATAGCGTATTTGGTAATTTTTAAAGGCATAAATGCATAGATATTTTAAGGTTTTTTAGGGAATGAAGTCCCTAGCCCTAGTTATAGCAGGTAAGTACCTATTTAAAATGTATAATGGCTATTACTATTATAATACAATATAAGTAGGTATTATTCTCTGAAATTAAATAATATATTATATCAAAAGGTACTAGTTCTATACACAATATATAAATAATATTTACCTACGTTCGATGATCATAATATTATGTACCTACTGCAAATCAATAAAATATAAGTATATAATAAATTAATAAAAAAGTGCTAATTTTAAATTATGTAATGATTACAAATAAAATAATGTTTAAACATTTTGTAATGCATAATTATTTCATCAAGAAATTTTGAAGACTGAAAGTAATAAAATATGTGAAACTGAAGCTTCTTTAGAATATTTTAAACATTTAAACTACTTACTAAACATTATAAATTATAATGCATATTATAGAAATTAAGAATCATTTTTAACCGGCAAAGTTAGAATATATTTATCAAAACTTCAGATTATAATTTATAAGTACAAATAGTATGTGAATTACCTTATTATGATTAACTTTTATTGAGAGCTATAATAAGAATTAAGAAATTATTTTCTAGTTATGTATTGATTATTTAAACAATAGTGGTCCTGATCCACAAATATGAATGATTTAAAGTAAATTTCATAGGATTTGCTCGAGTGATCAAATTATTACATATTGAACCAAATAACAACTTCATTTGAAACATTTAAGATTTTTCTTTGGATAAAATTATAAATAAAGATTAACTAATTAATGAAATAATTATTGGTCAGTGAAAGTTGTATTGATAATAGTAGAAAAAATATTTGATAGAACAATAATAATAATAAAATGACCGAAAATCGATACCTACCTAGAATTTTTTAGTTTTGCGAAGGGAAAACTTATTATAGTTACTAACTTAAAAATTGTGCGAATTTGTTCCTTCCTAACCAGAAACAAGCCACAAGCGCACAAATAAATTGAAAGACTCTTTTCACAAATCAGCAAGACGTATTGAAATTATGAAATAATACAACTAGAAATTTCTTCATTGAAATATTACATGCGACATACATTATTGTGATTCGAAAGTATTGTGATGACTATTAAATTACTGAAATCTATGCATATTATAATATTAAAAAGGTTATAGAGAAAAAAAATTATTTTAAAACGATTAGTCAGATTAGATAGTGTTGCACCAAAATAAATCATATAATATTATTTTTGCTGTATAAAAAGTCACAAAATAAAAGGTTCATTAATTATGTATATTACTATATATATAGCGGCCGGTGTGCCTCAATACGTTATACTATTATAATATTATAATATACCTTGCTACTCGCACAAAATTATTATTATTTTAATTCGAAATATATTAAAATCGGTAGGTACTTATCATTAAAATTGTAAGTATAATATAATATAACCATGATTTTATTATAATAATTAACTAATTAGTTAATTTTATTAATACGTATTATTATATAATATAGTTAAATTATCCAACTCAAATATTGTTGGAATCACTATGGAAAATAAATATGAACACAATATTGCTTTAACAACATTAAATAATTATTGTATGTTCAATATTATGATATTATTGAATAGCTGTTAAGAATTCAATGTTTAATTTCCAATCAGTAGAAATATACATACAATATCAATATAACAACATTGAATTGTTATTGTATTTCCAACATTATAATAGTATTGAATAGTCATTAAAAATGTAATATTTAAATTCCAATGAAAATAAATGCCTATGCAATATTGTTTAAAGAACATTGGAMTTATATTACATATTAAACAATGTATAAATATTGAATACATCATTTAAATTCAACATCAAATAATCAATATGAAGACAATATTACGGGAATATATACATTTTCAATTTTAAAATAAAATAATGATACAATGTTTATTTAACCTTAAATTTACAATATTAATTTATCAATGGACAACCAATATCCATTTAATATTGGCATTGCAGAATTGCTGTCTGGGTTAGTACTATAGAGGTAGGTATATATTGTACACTCGAACTCATGGCATATGTGTCGTATGCTCCGATCACTGGCGTACACAAATAAACGAACAAATTAATTATAAGCACTTTTATTGAACACTTTGACGTCCAGTGGCGATCGAGTCACACGATCACCACCTGGCTCTGACACTGGTGGTCAGTGGTAATCGAGTCACACGACTACCGCCAACTGACCCCTTTTCTGWCATCACATATTCCTTAAATATAAATTTTACAATCGAAACACTACCGGTAATATCGATATTGAATTTAACCTAGTTACATTATACTTACTGACTAAGCTTAAAATTATACTAATTGTTATTGTATTACGCCATTATTTAATTGTTTTGGTATACCAGTTACATATGATTGTTTACTTAACCTAGTTAATAGTTCTAATTTATTGTAATATTTCTTATATATTATATTATTATGCATGATACAACRTATGTTATATATTTTTTTATCATAGTTCCATGGCATGCGCAACGGCGTCATTGATCATCTACCAACGGTCCGTTTAGGCTTAGGCAGGCCAGCGCAAAGGAGTTAAAAGACAATATAATATATATAAGCACAGMAAATTTGTATTTACAAAAGAGAAAATGTATAATAAAGATTTTCGTATCGTAAAGCGGCGCTCTTTAATAAAATTAAATGTAATGTACGAAGGATATTTATGATCTATGGCACTATATATTATATTATATACTATAATATAATGATATTCAACAATATCTTACAAACGTATTGTGTAGTAAATTTTATTGAGATTTGAAAAAACAGAGACTACAACAGAGGACTGCTTTAAAAATTAGGAAAAAGTATAATATATCGCGTATTATGTATAACGTTGTCGCAGCCCTTTGGCATCAAATAATACAAAGAAAAGTAAGAGAAAAAATTGTGTTCTTCACTAAAACACACACACACACACACACACACGCACGTATATAGATACGTTTGTGTAATATAACTGTAATGTAATAAACTTTATAATGTACACCCGCCCTCGTTTGCCCTGACCGTATGAGAGCAAATTTCTCAGAAACGGGATCGTAAATGAACGCCGCTCTTTCTAATACCCCAAAATCGTCTTCATTATATATAATACGCGTTCGATGTTCATCTAAATAATCTAAATAGATGACGTGCGTGCCACTTGCCCCTTCGACGACAGTTGAAACGTGCACTATATTCGCCGCATCGGATACGCGTAAATACGTAATAATAATAGCAATACTGTGTAGTGTGTACCTGCGTCTATGGGTACTATGATATATTAATATTATACAAAATCTGTCATCGAYCGCCGCCGCCGCCAGTTTCCTTTGAAAATATCCGTCTTTTTATTTTACCGCCGTCGTTGGCCGACAATGTAATAACTAATAAGTAATAACCTTTTTTTTTGTCCCGAGACACGCTCACAATTAATTACGAGTTGGTGTGTATGCTGCGATGATTATATAGCATTAAGCGCATTGCAGGTCGTGTGTGTGTGTGCGTTATTTTACAGACGGAGTTACCAGTAGGTATACAATATACAATGTACAATATTAACCATTTCAAACTTTTGAAGCATATAGCAAAATATATTAGCCAAAGTAAATTATCATAAAAATATTAGCTGTAGATACAGTACATTTTCTCATTTGGTTCAATATATAATATAAATTGGCCCACAAAGAAATTTAGCAAGAAACTCTTTGTCTATTTTCATTTATAATTTTTTCTTAAGTCAGAACCACACTATAGCGTTTGCAATAAMTTCAACTGAACCAACCATTGTTATTTTTTTACATAATATACATCATACAATCATTGCATTCAACAAATCTGTTACCATTTACCTGGCCACTTGCAGCCATTTTAATTAAAAACAAAATTATTATATTTTTGCTTARAGTAAAACTAATAAAATAATTCTATGTGTAATATCCTTATTAAATATAAATGAAATACTTTACTTTTACAATTGAAAGTAATTATTAATAAAATAGGCTTATTTGTATTGTTAACCATACGTCAGTTAATATATAATAATTGAAGTTAATTAAAAATAATTTTAACAGTATAATTATGTATTAAAACTAAAAATTGTTTATGACATCAGCTTTGAAAAATACGTGAATAATAATAACATTAAATATAAGCAAGCAACAAATCTACATAAATTAAATAAAGCATAGTTATAAATAGAAATGGAATCCTAGGTTTAAAAAAAAGTTATAATATAATACAAATATCCTCTAAAAACATTATACAAATATTCTACTTATTATCTTTAAAATGAGTGATATTGGGAATTTTTGTTTTATTGTAATGTAATGGGGATTTAAAACATTTRCATTTATACTTGTTATATTTTATACACACAATGGAATTATTTCCATATATTTGAGATTAGTTTTTACTAATTTATACCGTTGTGTTCACAATAAATTAAACTGTGAAAATAATTAATAGCTATAAATTTTAATTGTATTTGTTTGATAAAAGACTGATGACTATCTTCGTTCAAAATCGTTTTTTGTATGCAATAATTTATCAATTAATTCAAATGTAATAGATTCCTTACAAAGACTTGCTTAATGAAGAAGTATAGCGACATCTATAATTATTTTACTGCAAAGCAACTTTCATGGTTTCTTAAACATTTAAAACAAATATAATAATGCGCACCTTTTATTGAATTTTTGTACGTATATGTGGTTAAATAACTAATACATTTTCAACTTTTTGAGTAGGYATTTTTGAATTCGTTTTCAATTTTTCAAAAATACAAAAATGAAATATGTGAAACTAGTTTTAATATTATTTTATACTTTTTATATCAAATTTGAAACAGTCAAAATAGATAGTGCCAACTATGGAACACACTATTGACAGATATTTGAACCACCTATTGCGTGTTAATTGTAAATATTGTTTTATAACCAAAAAATATTATCCTACGTAACGGAGGTATAAAACCCATTACTAAAATTCTAACATTCTCAAAGAAT